ACATGGATGGATGAATGGATGGATGGATGGATGGATGGATGAATGAATAGATCAATACTATATCATGTATATGTCGTATCCTTACTGCAGTAAGTCAGTACCATACGCTCCTCTTTCATATAATGAATCATGACACTCTCGATCACCTACGCGTGTGTCAAGCATTCTCCTTTTGTACTTTTCCATTTGCAAACAAAAAACAAGGTTAACGAGCTTCGGAAGGAAAAGGAACTGATCGAAGATGCTCATTTATAAGATAGGCTATTAAATGACTTTCAAAATTTCTTATCGTTATTCAAATTTTATCCAAATTAATGCGACCTGCGACAGCTATTTTCCGTTGGCGCTGTTTGGTATTGTCAACCATTTATTTTTCTTTGAAATGTCTTATCGTAGTACATGCGTGCATAGTTTTAGGATTTTGCAACCTCTTAAAATATGCATTCCTAACATACTGCGAAAAGTAGTATTTGACAACTTAATCACAATTCACTCAAATCCTCGGCTTATAGTTACGAGGTTTTTTACTGGTTGATTATAAATCCTGTCTGGCTTTTTTTCATTTTACAGATATTTCTAGATTTGGAATTACGATGAATATTTAAACGTGATTGAGAGCAAATACTTTTGGAATCAAAAATGATATTGGAAACTTGAAAAAAATTGATTCATGTTGGCTTTTTGATCTGAATTTAAGTTTTTTCTCGAGGGAAATCCGGTTATAAAATAGGGAAAAAAATTGTCACTTTATTAGATTCGGAAGGTTTTGTCTTTGATGTTGTTGCTGTTGTTATACAATTATGGAAACTCTTCTAAAAGTCACTAAAAGATTTCATTTTCTCAGATGTTTTCATCTCCTTGTTGCTATAAAAAAATAATTTCACGAACAAATCGTCAGAAATCGTCACTTCTCGAACCAAAAGTGATTTTAGTCTTGGGCAAATGATTGGCATTCAATAATAATAACATTAAGTCCAGCCAAAGTACCTGAGGGCAAACCAGCTCTTTTCAATTGACTCTACGAATATATATATATATGAGATACAAAACAGAAAGCCTGATAGCTATTAGCAGTCGGTAGAGAGTTCTAGTTGATTGGTTTTGCACAACACTTAAACGAAAAACTCACGACCAAAGGGATCAACATCCATTTTTGCCCCAAAACTATGATGTGGACAAAGAAAAAATAAAATAAAATAAAATAAATTGAACCCAATGTAATGAATTATAAAGACGAAACTGTCTAGATTCTAAGTATGAAATATTTTATAATAAAACAACCGTTGCGTCCATATAATATTGATTTCAAGGTATATAGTAGTTCCGGCAGTACTTTTACGATTTAGGATCCAGATTAAAAGTTCAAAGAAAATGCGAATACCATATAATATATCTGAGGAGTTGAAATCAAAATAATAGAAGTGTTTTAAAAGATATATCCTGTAATTTAAA